AAAAAAAAAAAAAAAACAGGATTGCAAAGACAATGAAGAATAATAATAATAATAATAATAATAGGTGCACATGCATAAATCCAAATAGCATTCTGCAATATTTCAAGACAACATAACACAGAACACAGAATGGAAGTCATATTTAAAGATTTTAGAGGAACATAATAATATTATTTTAAGTAATCATATGCTAATGTCAGTTTTGCAAATGATTAATGGCCAGACAGGGGGAGGCCTTGGCTCCCCTTGCTAAATGAGCACGGCTATCCCGGATACGCCGGCGTGCTCCTTGTCAGCCATCCCTGACGAGGCGGCCTGCAGAGATGGCGGCGCCGTGGGGATCCTCACCCAGGGGGGAGCTGGAGCACGTTCCCCCATTCAGGCAGTAGTCCTTGCAGTGGCTCACTTCACAACGTCCCCCGGAGAAGTTGGGCCAGCAGTAACAGCGGGACTCCCCCCTCTCATTGGGGACACAGCGCCCTCCGTTCTCGCACGCCGGCCGGCAGAGATCTCCTGCAAGGCCGAGACATGCCACACGATCAAAGGCTGATACGAGTCCACTGAAGAATGGCAGCGTTGGGGTGCAAGTTACTCATTGGCTGCAACAGTCACCTGGTTTCATTCTCACTCCTGCCTAGAACTGAATAAACACCATGAGCGAATCTAGAATGAAAACGTCGGGATGAATATTTCAAATACATGATTTGTGTCTAGTCAATGATAGGCTGCTCAATGGAGCACCGACCAAATCTATGAATAAACTGAGATGGGCTTCAATGCTGATGTGATCCCTGCCATGTTTATTTTAGGGCACTTGTGTATAAATCCCTAAGAGATAAATCAATCTAGACGCAGGTGGGATCACCGGATGCGGAAATGCAAGATGTGACAGTGCTGGATGCGAGCTGGAAAAAAGCCTCTCTGAGGCCGGGGGGGGTCATAGTGTGACGGAGCTAGTAGGGGGTGGAGGGGGTAGCCCACCTGAAGCAGCTCTGTCGGCGCAGGATCCGTTAATCAGCGCTTTCCCCTCCGGGCAGGAGCAGCTGGCACCGGTCGGGTTGAGCAGGCACAGGAAGTCACAGCTCATCGCCGCACACGGGTTCATCACTGGTGGCACCAGGGGGGCGGGGAGGGGAGAGAAGGCCACACCGGGCTCTCTTAGCTCACATGCTGTTCAAACTAATCACACAGCTTTAGATCACAGCGGAGTGTACTGGAGGTGCCAATCCCTGCAAAACAACTTAAATGGGCATCGATACATGCAGAGAGACAATATAATGTTCTCTGAACGACCGGCAGAGTGGTTTCTCCCAGTAGCTTTAACAAATCTCAGAAGATAAAATATGGGAGGGAATATATTTTAAATAGATTCATCTCAAGGCACACTCAGTAGGGAATCCGTTACTGGACTACGAGGCCAAATATCACCAGCGACATCATTTCCTCCTGAACAGCCTGTAAACCCCTGAGAAACTGGCACGAGTTCCAATCATGCGTGAGCATGTTTAAAGCATAAAGGAAGGGTAACGATCTACTGTGACACGGAGATTTTCAATTAATTAGTGTGTGTGAGAGAGAACGGAGAAGCACCAAGGAGCCGATTCCCAGTGACACTAGGAGGAGGTAGCAGGTCACAGGCAAGTGCTAAATTATTACAAGTGAAAAACAGAAAAAGACCAGAAATGCAAAAAGTCGAATCCAATGGCAACAGTTTTATGATAATATGATAATATAAGTCTTGGCTTACATAAGGTTTTGCAGAGATAATGAATCCAGCCCCGACGGCTGCCCGCCTGCCTCACTGGCAGGTTATTTCCAAATTGCTTTGCTAAGTGCCTTTAGTACTTTTTACTATGTGCTTATTAGGTGCTTGGAATTCGAGCATAATTATCAGAGAAGGTTGCTCAGCACTGCAGTTTAGCCATTAGCGACGGTGCCGCGTGGCGACTCGGACCTCGGATTTGATTATAGCCTGTAAGAGTCGGTGCAACCCAGGCGCAGGTGTGGATTCGTGCCCGTCCTCCCCGTCCTCCCCAGGCTGGGTGAGGTACAGTATAATTGCAACAGCACATGCTCTTGTAAAAAGGCAGCAGAAAAAAGGGGGAGCAGAGAGCACACCGCATCTGTGACTGGGAGAGTCGGCGAACTTCATTTTGCTTCCTGGCTTTGTTAGCTTACTGGATCTCAGGCCAATGAAGCAGCTGCGACTTCAGCGACTGGCCATTAGCAAGAACAACGCCATATATGAAGGTCCAACAGGGCAGTCACTGACCATTAGCACCATGGGGACAACGGCTGTACCCTAAGTTATTGACCAGTGAGCTGCAGGAGCAGCGCCCCAGAGATCGGAGAGTCGTATGAAGGCCGAGGAGAGCGCCCTCAGACGGCACGGGTCGAGCAGCTGGGGCTGCTCCCTGCGTCCGAAGGTGGCCCCGATTTCCAGGACCTCTAGGCCACACTAATGCCATCCATGCATTTCGGCACGATGGCTGTGTTTGTACTTTAAAGCTATCAGGGTCTTTATCCCTGGCCAGCGATTCCCCGTAATGTGGCAGGCGGTCACCTAAAGAACATCAGCCAGCTGTCTTGGGGGCAGTTCATTCCTGGGCACGACAGCAGCCCCTGCCAGCCAAAAAACCCTCGGCAGCCCCCCCCCGACCCAGGGCGGCGCAGCCGAAGGAAAATAAAATGGGATAAAAATAGAAGAATCACAGTCCATTAGCAGGTTATTGTTTTTCATCCTTCTCTGTTATAGAATCCAAGTAGCCATTTTTGATTCTGTACTATTTACCACCCCAATCTGTGCACACTATGTAAAACAAGAATTCAGCTCATTTATTCTAATTCAATATATCATTTCATTCAGACACTCTATCTTTATTTGAACTGCATATAAAGGTGCATCCAAACCAGGACGACCAGGCGGCTAAAGAGCTTCTTCCCACATGCTGGTAGACTCCCAGTGCCACCTCTCAAGCAGACACATTCCCCCCCCCCCCATACCTTTAACCTCCTCTCCTACACTGGACTCCTTAACACTGGACACACTGCCGATGATCCCTTGAATATATTCATTCAGCTATATATTTTATACCAAACTTGTCATTGCGATATTTGTCTATTTTATGTATTGCCTGTAATGGCTCTGTTTGGTCTGGGAAGAACAGAATTTAATTTAATTTATTTTTTTTGCATGCAAATAAAAAACATGCACTAAAAAGATATCTAATCTCATTTAATCTAATCTAATCCAATATATGGTTTTATATAGATTTTACTACAGTATGTTCTGATTTTTATTTCTCGACAGAGCAACTGAGCATCTATTTTTTTGTCTTTGTCTTTAAAATTTCTACAGTAGTAAAAACAAAAAAAGAGAAACTGACAATGAGATATTAGTGAGTCATATGAAAAGTTACTGATTCGGCTTTTAGGCTACAGTTATATGATCAATGGTGGACAGACAGAGAAACAGTTGAGCTCCATACAAATCACTCCAAAATCTCATGAGATCCCTGGAACAGACATGAAATGAGAAGTTACACCCTGAGGTAATCTATTTTTTAGATCCACCCGAGTCTCCGGTAAGACTATATATATATAAAAAACATTTCTTACGATAAAATACTCATCGCAAATCAAAGCATATCCGTGTTGCCGTGATGTCATTTTTAGCTAGCAGAAATAGGACGGTACAGTTTTCTCTTTCCTCTGGGACGAACTATTTCTCCTTCTCTCCATATTCTTAGATTGTCCGCTACACATATTTCACACAGGAAGAGAAGGTAACAAGAACGGATGAATGAACGCTCATTTACCATCCTGCTGCTTGAATCGATGGATTATGATGACGCTGGAGGCTTTTTCTATGCTTAGATCAAGGTCTTCAACGAGTCCTTTGCCAAATTTGTGAACCCTGAAAACTTTGTTTTTCAGGCTAGTTCCATAGATATAATCTTCAAATATATCAATTTTATAAGGCTGATAGATTCCTGCAAAAACAGAGGGGAAAAAGTGAATTTCCAGATGTAATAAAGTTGTATAAGTTTTAAAAAGTTTAAATATATCCAGAGTAGCTACAATATACAGTATAAATTCTTATCTTGATTAAATTTATAACGTAGTAATTCAGCTAAGACTATTACTGTATGTATTTTCTTGTGCTCTAAAGATACGTTAGTTTAAGTAATTTAACTAATTGTGTTTGTTGTTCCCCACAGCAATTCAACTCTAGGACAAAAATTCCATAATTTAAATTTCATTAAAGTTTACAAAGTTCAGCAATTTCATGCTCACATATATCAGGATCAATCAGGACACTTTTCAGTGGATCATGGTTTTGCTTTTGCATTTCAATAGCGAGCACATACCACCTAATACTGGATTATGATGTGAGAATGTTCTACAAACACAATGCCATTACATTTCGGAAACATTTATATTTCTGTGGAGAGAGCCTCCTCCTGAAATCCAATACCGCCATTCCTGCCTGGCCATTTGGCCAGTTGTCTGAAACCACTGGCCCGTGGTTCGCACTCCCTGCAGAAACCTGCGTCCTAACATGGCCCAAGGACACACAGGAGCATAGAAGTCAAGCTGGCGGCTCACCGTTCTTGCTGCCGATGGCCACCCGGGAATCGGACCCGTCAAAGCAGATGCTCCCTATCGCTGAGAGCTCTGCATCAGCCCAGTACAAGCGCTGGTTAAAATAATCCACGGCCAGACCTACAGACAGAGTGATAAACAAGCCTTTCTCAGCTACCCTTCGGCACTCAGGGTTTATGATCGAGCTGGTTAAAATATAGCAAACAACTTGCAGCCATGAAATCCGCATTGACTGGGGACAAAATGAAATTAAATCATGTACAATGCGGATCACATGAGGATGAGGATCTGCATCACTTTTTCTTACAGATATTTAGTGAAAATATAACAACCATAAAATATGTAAAATATCAGCAATGACTTCTTCACCATAAACTTTCCTTGATATATCCAGCCGTCTCTGTCGATGGAAAACTCTGTCACATCTATGACATGGCAGCACTTTAATTCAATTTAAAAGACAGAACGCCAATCTTAAATAGTGCTGCTAGCGGGGTGAACATATTCTTCTGTCTCCCGGAGGACATTTTGTAGACTTAATGACAGGCTGTGTCAGTGGTGTTAAATTACTTTGGGTTTTTTTCCCACCTTTCCATCTTGCTTCATAAAAACCTCACATCCTTCTGCCCCCCCCCACACTAGTCGGTTACCATTATGGTCAGCATGGGTATTTAAATTCACAAGTGCCTCCTGTTCTCTGCTGGAGGCCCACAGAACGAGTGCTACCAAATTATTAGAGATCCACCCAGCTGACCATTAAATGTTAGCCTGTGAAAATGCTTCCACTTAGCGAGAAAAATGAGAAGTCATAAATACCCGTTGGCCGTCGAAGGTTCTTCTCCAGAAGGACCCGGCGCATAGAGCCGTCCATGGCTGCCTCCTCGATGTGAGAATGGTCACCGATCACTGTCCAGTACATCATCCTGTGGAGGACAAGGGGCAGAATGGTTTCCCTGCTGGCAGTGCCGGTTCAAGCCCAAGAGATGCTATTGCTAAGCTGGCGCCCCCTTTGAATATGGCACACAAGGCAGGCATCCATGTCGTCCAATGGGTAGAGCATCACTGCCTATTGTTAAGTCTCTCACGACAAACCTCGGTGTTGAAGCTTCCCTTTCAGGTAAGGTTGTGCAATGATGATGAGACAGACCAGTAACGTGCTGAGGCCACTTAGGAATAAGAAAGAAAGCATGTTTGGCGAGGGGAGGGTATAGATGGTGTCACCGCCTTACTCAGGCTTATGGCTACAAAGTTTAATAGTTGCTGTTGACAGGAAGGGGAGTATATACTTTGCGACATGGATGACATCTCCTTCTGTCTTCTGCCCTTAGACCCTGACTACCCTGGAAGGTTCACCACACCAACAGTTCTAGGCATGGCCGGAAAGCATTCCAGAGCTTGGGAAAACATTCAAGCCTCTGAGAGAACCTGACCAGAGGAGGGCTTCTCAGCTTACCAGCAGAGAGCAGGATTAACTGCATCCCCCACTCCCCAGAAACAGCTCTACTTGATGGTTAAGAAAAAGGTATAAAGGTCTAAGCAACCAGAGAAATGGAAAAATCAACCTCCGAGGCTAGGATGTGCTTTGAGTACTACTTTCCTGTGAATTTAGCTTCAACTGCAAAAACAAACAAACAAACAATAAGTAAAGTAACTGAAAGGTGGTCCTTACCCTCGAGTTGGGTTGACAGCAATTGAATAAGGTTCCCCTGCGATGTCTGTTATTAGACGGGTACACTTTGATGCCCCAAGCTGGCCCACATTGATGGAGTACCTCAGCCTTGTCCAATGGGCTGTGTAATAACTGAACCAGTGCATCCTGGAGTGATCTGTCCAGTAGACATTCCCTGTTACCCAGTCAGCCGAGATATCCCTCGGCCTCCGGAAATCTGGACACTGTATGGGACAATCAGACCAGAAGTAGTTAAGCCAGTTCCCCAGCATGCCCGTTGCTTCTCCAATTCCCTAACCCAGCATGCCCTGCAACATGTGCATGTTCATACACAATCTAGCTTAACATGAACTCAACTGTGCTGAAGTCGCCTTTCATGTTCAAATGATGACTCTGTTAAAGGTTCCACTGCTCACATTCATACAATGAATGACACCGGGTGGCACAGGAATGGCTTTGGAGACACATTGGTTGTTACCAAGTGGTGTACAATCTACCAAAATAACTACAGACCCAGACAAAGGCGTGAGCAATGAAGCAATAAACAAATAAAAGACCCTATACACATATAAACCAACAAGCAGGTATATCAAGATGCTTCTCTTTCCTCCTGATAATGTGCCGTTATTCTTGCAGTATTACTCAGGCATCAGTAGTGAAACACTCAAACAAATTCTTTGACACTCCCTTCTAGACATAACATAGAAAAACCTGATATGAAAAGTAAACATGAGAGTGAAAAAATGCACCACAGTCCCAGTATTGCAAACAAGCTCTGAGACTGCAGAAGTGCCATACATGCTAATTGCGAGTGAAACAACTCTGACTCTGACCCCGACCACCTGGGAGTAAGGAATTTAGCCTGAGTATTACAGTAAGAAAGACCACGATAGAAGACAGGAAAAGTAACTCAGTAATAAATGAAATGATTGTCTGAGCAAAAGCACACATGCTGCACGTAAGCAAACGTAACTACAATCTGACACAATACAACTGGTAAGAGAACAATAGTACTACTGTAAAACAAACAAAAAAAACATACTGCTGCTGTTTCTACAGATATTCAAAGTTTATCTTATATACATGTTAACATACAGTTAAAATGAAGGAAAGAAAAAAAAACAAATAAAGCCAAATTATGTGTTTGGTAGCAGAACCCAGTAATGATGACACCAAAATAGCCTTTTAATTTTATGAGGCAGCAGACAAGTTTTCATTTGTGCTATAAAACTGGGTAAATGGAAGAAGAATAATGAATCCAGTAGAATAGATGTGAAGTATTCATCAGTATTATATGGTTGCAAACGAGAATGAACAATACTATGGTGAAAGGCTGCAGCCACACATGGTAAGATTTATGTATCAATAATTTAGAACTTAATTTGATTTGCAATGGAAGGGAAACTGCAGTTAATTCACACACTTGCATAATCAGACAGATCGTATTCCAAACACAGTAGTTCACAACATTTCTAGGCTACATGCTCCAACATTTCTTCCAAGATACTTACTATAATTCCACTATTTGATTTAGATTGACTTCTGTTTAGGATGTCTCTGTAAAAAATTCCACCAGGATTAAACTGGGTAGCCCAGATAAACTTGTTTCCATGAAAGAGAGCCGCCATTCCAATGATTCTGGCATTGTCCTCTGTGCGTGCTAGCTGTTTGTGTCCATGGCTCTGGTTAAATGGATACACAAAACCTCGGATTTCAGTGTCATTAGCTATGTAGAGCACTTGATCTTCTGGTCCTGCCCGTTGAGTCATTAAATATGCAAAAAAAATGAAAGGTGTCTAAATTCCATTTCAGGTTTAAGACAACAGTTTTGCAAGATTACACACACAAAACAATTGATCACCACATATTTATTTAGCACAAATAGGTTCATCCAGAAACAATACATTACTTATATAATTCATATTAAATATTAATAATTCATATTAAAATGCTACAAAAATATGACATTTTAATAAACTTTAATAACTTTTACTTTAAAAGATTCTTATAACAAGTTTAACTGATCATATAAACTTAATAACATATCTGTAATTATTCAGAATACAGTAGCTTCTTAACATGACAGCACAACAATTAATGACAAGGGGACACACAGCATTAGGATCACTAATGTGTGTTTTATTATTGTAATGTGTTTTGTGTTTGAAGCGCTACTACGGTAGTGATTTAGTGTTATATCTTGATCCTCTCAATAATATGCTTATCGGTGCTTAACAAATGCATATAAAACCATTTGGTATTTTCTGTGAATGCTGAATGTAGCTAACTTGCATAGAAATACTGTAATATTTTCAATAGTAATGCAAGCATGTAATATGCTTACACTGTGAATGCTTTTGAGAAATTGGGTCTCACTAAAGCATAATAGATAAAGTTACACTTAATTAAATTGGCTCGGCAGTGAGCCATTTAAACTGTAACTGTAACAAAATGAATGTACAATATGTCCTGTTTACATTTATGTGTTTTCAGTTGTTGGCAAAATGTATTGGTTACCATTCAAAGCACAACAAAAGCAAGGAATACAAATTTTGTCTTTACCTTTCACCATACAGACTCCATTAATTTCTTTAAAATTCCTGTCACAAGTGCACTTGAAAGATCCTTTCGTGTTTGTGCAGTAATGAGAGCATGTTCCAAAGTGAAGACACTCATTGACTTCTGAAAAGCGGAGGAGAGAAGTTGACATTATTGTCAGCCTCTGTTAAAGGGCACTGGGCTTTTTTGTGAGAACACATCCCCTTTGCACCTCTGACTAGCTTAACAGAATCATGTGCTCTGACGCCAAGCATGTCCGCCTGTGAGCTTTTAGGGACACCAAGCTGAGTGTGAAATCCTGATTTCAGTATATATTGTTCAAATAAGTATCCAAAAATTTGTTTAACTGTCAGGATTTTAAATTTCTTCCTATTTGACACTTAGCTACTTGGCCTTGACTCTTCCATCGGGCTTGAAGGGTCACTCCCCCTCGGTTTTTCCCATAATCCTCAGCAGTTTGGCTTGTCTGATCTGTCTGCAGTAAGTGAGACCGCGTGGCTGTACCTTCACACTGCCGATTCCGCGGATTCCTCCGGAAGCCTGGTCTGCACTGACACACTGCTTCAGTTTCTGTTTGATTGCAGAGTGCATCACTACCGCACAGACTGACTTTCCCCGCGCAGAGGCCTTCCTCAGGAGCTGCCGAGTGGTGAGAGCACAACATCAATATACCTCCTCTTCCAACCCTGCTCATTACAGCAGTCAACAATTCTGAACAAGATGATATCAGTGAGCTGAAAGAGGAGTCCTTAGCTACCACACACACAGGAACATCTGTGACTGACACTACAAAACAGAAACATTTTAAAACATAATGAATCAGGTGTTTTCAGGATGATGCAATATCTTGAAATGCTTCAAAATCTAACTCAATGGAACACACACCCAGGTGGGGTTCAAAGATACCATCTGGAACAAACTACCCCAGCACTGTGGATGAAACACTTCATCTAAACGGTACAGGGTGGATTGCAGGTTAGTGCTTAGCTTGGAGAAGGGCTTGGAATTTCAAAGGACACAATCACAATTTGGAATGCTTTAAAAGGCTATTACATTTTCGACGATTAAGCACATACTGGGTGGTGAAATCTAGCGAGGGATGTCAGAAAACAGAGCTGGGAGCAGGGCGTCTAGAAATGGTTCTGAAGAGCACGTCTCTTGGCACCAACACAGGAGGATAGGAACAGCGCTCGAATGGGCTGTCCTGAGTGGGATGTTCTGATTGGGCATCAGGCCCGACTCACAGGCCTTGCAGTTACGCTCGTCGGAGCCTCCGTCTCCGCAGTCATCAAACAGGTCGCACTGCAGCTCAGCAGCAACGCAGCGTCCGTTACTGCAGGTGAACTCCGCCTTCCCGCAGGGTCGAGGTCGCCCTGCTGTGCCACCTACTGGTCAGATTGGAAAAAGGAGTGTGTTGTCAAAGAAGAAAAGCAAAGTTCCTCTCATAGACCCCTGGCCCTATTTTTGAATCTACAGAAATGACAGATTTAACCCCTTCCCAGAAACATGGGTTCAAACCATTTTAGGCAATTTTGTTATAATCGCTTGCTTTTGTTATGGAATGGCAATATCTACAGTGCTTTTATGGGCATGTATCACACGGGATAGCTGCAAATGTCTGCTGGAGCTGGCTGACACAGTTATGGTGTGACTTGCCGATGGCCTCTGACAAAGGCATGTCACATCCTCGCTGATGGCCCTTATAATCACCGCCAGCGATAGGGATACACGTGCACGGCTTTCTAACCATGGTAAACAGAGAGGAAAAGTGAGAACGACGCGGACAGGTGATTTTCAGTCTGCTAATGGGCATCAGGGGGGAATGTGAAAGTAAGCAGTATCTTTGATGTCCTGCAAAGGATGCATTTTAAGTAGCCTTGGTGTGATTAAAGGGAAACAACTCACTTCTGAGCTGCTTGTAATGGGCTCAGACATTGTATAAAGGTGATGAAATATATACATTTTAATGAATGTATTTATGCCACAACTACATACAGTGGTGCTGTTTAGCACCACTCGAACCACACATTTGCGTGGAGCCCCCTATTGGCCACAAACAGTCCTGACTCTAAACATAAAATGAAACTCGTTGCTTATTTGGACGATACTGAAGCAGCATGATCTGCTAACCAGCTGGGTGATTCTCATGAAATCAGATTTAGGAGGTCCCATGAAGCATTTTGATGAAAAAGTAAAAGCTATCAAAATGAGAAGGATACAGTTATATCTTGCATATGTTTTAAAGTGAACATCATAAATATATTTTCTGTTGTTTTTACACATTTAAGAATAAAATTCTCATTACCGCGATGTGTCCATTACTGAGTTTGAGTTCGTTGAAATAGAAATTTTAATGTTTAAAATAAATAAAAAAGAAAAAGCTTCAGTGCAAGTAAAACTACTAACAGTTACAGTAAATAAACATGTGGTATTTGGCATTCATTAATAAGAGAATTGAAAATATTAGGGACAAGAAATTTGTCCGAGACGAATTTTCTCATCCACCGCAATAATTTTCAATCATTGTATAAGACCACAAGGAACTTACATAATCAAGGAATTTTGAATGGGGGGACACTACTGGCTGTGACACTCAAGATGGGTACCAGGTAAGCAGCTAATTTTTTATCTCTCCAGATAAAAGTTTGCCCATCAGAGTGCCTACATGACTTTTTGTTTCTCATTACTGATATGCGGGATAGTATATAACATTTAAAAAATTGTTTTTTTTTTTTTAATGTAGAATTTTCATTAACTAAATTTTTCTTACCAATTTTACACTTAAAAGCAGGAAAACTTATAAATTACTATGAAAGATAAACACTTCCGTAGGGTTTTTTGAGGATTTCGCAGATGTGCGAAAAAATCGTGGATGCAAATAAGTTCAGTTCCAATAAAATTTTCGTGGATCGGTGAATTCGCGAATCACAAAGCATGAATGCACGAGGGCTTACTGTACAACCTCTTCTCGATTTGAGTCCAGTATCCTCACTAAGTGACCCAGAAAATTGCCATGAAGAACACACCAGCAGATGAAAGGATAGACCTGACAGGGCCAGTAGAATTATCCACCCCCAAAAGAACACATCCAGCAATTAAAAAAAAGAGTGGACATCAAAACATACAAGGAAACTGAGAGCCAAACTATACCAATGAAAAACTACAGGAAGAGACCAAAGAACTACATAATCTGAACAGAAGAATTAAAAGACTCCAGGCTCAAAGTTTGAAGAAGATGGTGAACAGGCAGTGTGGAAATGCTTCACAAAAGTTTGTTAGTGCTATTATTTTGACAAATGATTGTATGAACTTTTTCATAAAATAAATATATTCTTTAAATTGTGGTATTGTGTTAAATATGTCAGCTAAACTCAGAATCCTTGCTAAACTATGAACATACAGCACTAAATCTCATTTCCGAAACACTAAATTTAATCTCCGAAACACAATTCTCATTACCACAATATGTGTTTATTAGGAAATGATTTAATTATTAGAAAATGATTTTTAGTTTGTAATTGTATTTACACAATTTATAGCACTTCTTATTTAATCTCTGTTACAGAAAAAATATACATGTCAGTTTTCAGCAAAATATCCTAAAAAACAAGATGTAAATCATCAAGTATGTTGTGGTAATGAAAGAAATGAAGAAAATGATAAAACGTAATAAATATTAAAAAGTAATGTCTCCTGAGTTATATATACCTCTGAGCAAGACTGTTAATAATATACTTTAAAAATTACAGAAAACATACATTTTAAACCATATATTTGATGTAATGTCATGTTGTGGTAATATTTTTTTCAGGACTCCATGTCTAAAATACCAATAAATATATAGAAAATATTCCAAAATAAATCAGAAAATAATGTTTTTACTAAGTTCAGACCTTAACCTTAAATGCTGAAAAACAAATTTGTTTTCAAATGCCTTTTGAATTGGATTCCTTTTAAATCTGGATTTCATGAGAATCACCCAGCTAGCTACGATCTTCTGACTCTACTCACTAGCTAACATCATAATTATATAAATTTTGAAGCGATTGCTTCCTAGCGGCACCACAAAAAGAAAGTCAAAGATGCAATGTCTCCAGCAGAAAGTCTGCCTAAGCTGTCCAGTTTCTTCACCACAAACAATGAAAAGCCTGACTTTTTGAGGGTCACAGAATCCTACTCCGCAATAAAACCTTGAATCAGTAAAAACTCAACATTAGGAGAGACTTGCACAGACAGGCTAGTGTTGACTGCGCTCTCCCCCAGCTAGGTCTGCTCACCGCAGTCGTCTTCATCCGAGTTGTCCCCGCAGTCATCAACGCCGTTGCAGACCTGCTCGCCGTGGAGGCACACTCTGTCGTTCCGGCAGCGGTGCGGTCGCGTCGGCGGACAGGGTAGCTTTGCTGGGGGGAGAAGCCATGCGGTGACACTGGGAATCTAAGCTTATCGTTGCCAGGTTCACAAACCTGCATGCAGTTAAAGGGATATGTCTGTGGCTGATTAAAGGGATACGTCTGTCACTGAGAGCTCCAGCGGATGGGGCAGAGAGACCTGTCAAGGAAGCCAAGGGACAGAGCCCCCCTGCTTCCGGAGGGCTCTCAGAAACCATTCAGGTGAGTGAACGCCACCTCATAGGTTTCTGACAGTGTTCTGAACATAAACTTGAGATTAAAGACACAAATAAAGACACAAATTATTTCACTTATCGAACATTTCTGCATTTTCAGATTCAGTCTGTTACAGAACATGACTAGCAAAGTTGCTTTTTAACTACATTTGATCTCACAGACACTGATTGAAGATGACATATTCCTCAGAGAAAAGCTCAGTTCAGCTTAGAGGAGTTTACCAGACTTCAGTTTACAAAACAATTGATTAGCTTTTCAAGCTAACAGTTTAAATCCAGAGAAACATTTAGGATAAGAGCAAAGTCCACACAACATGTTTTTTATTTATCAAAGATGCTTCCAGTGATATTTTATATGCTGTCAAATATATGAGAAGAGTTTTTATCTTAAATGTGCATTGTGTTGAACATTTGGATCCTCATACTTTAATATGATATTTGTTCATTAGATCTCTACCCCTTTATTTCACTCTGTTCAGTTCGCATATTTTAATAAATGTAAATTTACCATTAAACTCTCCATTCTCATTTGCTCATAGGATTTCTGAGCACTATTGCGAGGCGCACACAATTCGCACCACTGAATGAAGTCCTCTTTTGATGACTATCCCAGCACTCGAAGTCACTGAAGAGCAATATCCCACAGCAACTAAACTCAGGCACCTGGAGAAGCGTGACATCATGTATTGCTTCTGAATTTCTGTGTGTTTTTTAAAGGTAAGAAGAAAAGCTCCTACCACACATGTCAGGATCCTCATCTGAGTTGTCCCCGCAGTCATCCTGGCCGTCGCACACCCACACGTGCAACTTGCACAGCGTGTTGTTGCAAATGAACTCGTCAGCTCGGCAAGAATAGCCTCCTGCAAAGATTCCCGTGGAGCATAAAGGAAAACAGATACAATTATTCCGATAAAGCTTCTGCAAATGAGTTTAGCAAGAAACAGGAATGCAAAAGTTCACTGCATGGATAGCAAGAGAATAGAATATAATAATGATTCTTCATTCATCCCTGTGCCTTCTCACATATCCAATCATGCTCTCCATGAGTACAGAAATATATACAGTATAGGTAAGACCAAGCTTGGGGGTCACAGCACAGGGTCAGCCAGCATGCAGGACCACAAGAGCTGGGGGTTAAGGGGCTCAAGAGCTCAGTGTGTCAGAGACCTTCCAATGACAGCCACATAGCACCCCAGTACTCCCCATGCCCTGGCATTAGCGGGGGGTTAACTCTCTCATAAACCTTTAACGTTCTAAGCCGTATGTTCCTCCTATGGAGGTTAATTACAGGTGGTGATAGAAATATCACCGAGGATGTCATACATCAGTTTTGTGCTTTTTAGAGTAATTACTATATACAGTAATTAGCCAGGAAAATTGAATGACTGCAAAAGAGTGAACAGTTTATACTGAGAACAGAAAGACAATGTATCTAAGATACGTCTGTCATTGGCTTCTTCTGGACAGGTCTGACCTATTGGTCCGACAACTGGAAAGCATCTGTCAGAGTTTGATGTAGCTTCACAGTTGCAAACTAGCAGCTGCTCATAACACCTCTGCTGCTATGGAAACCAACACAACGCAAAGCAAAAAAGAAAAAAGAAAGAAAAGAAAAACAATAAAACAAAAGACACCGGCAGCTGCACAGCTGTGAACGGCGGGCAGCATTCATCAGAAGCGGGTCTTAATTACGCAGCGCAAACACACCACGGCCGTGACTCAGACAGTCTAGCCACAGCTATGCCGAAACGCACACGCCCACATTTAGCAAATACTGCCACAACCAACACGCCTTCTCAATTCAGCTTCAAAAGAAAGCAATTTAATCAATTCCAAATCCCGCAGAAAAAAATAAAATGAAGAATACATCCTCGTCACCCTCTTTGCTCTCCACACAGGCGAAGCAAATTCTCCTCGACGTGAATAAAGCAAGCAAGTGGGGTGCGTCATACGTGACGTGTGACATGCCGGGCCCCCTCCAGATCACAGTCTCCCACTCATCCAGGGAATGAAATAATGGCATTGTAAATTAGATGGTTCTTTTTGCTTCTCTCCTTCTTCTTTCTTAACAATTGGACAATGCTGCCCGTTGAAATTTTCCCACATTGTATAAAAAAAAATGAGATTGGCTCACACCTTTGAAAACTTCACTCGAGCAGATAGTAATTATTATCCTGTTTGGATTGTCATTTCTTTGTAGCTGCGGGTTCCTGTATTAGGTTCAGAGTTCAGGCCAGATCCCTATTGAGGTTGGACAGCCCCGACTTGCCGAATTGAAACCTTTTCTACAAAAATAGATATAATACAATAGAATCCTCATGACTGATAGGATTCCTTCAAAAAAACATTTTTTGAATAAAGGCCATTCAGGGAGAGGGGTTATGCCCTAGTGAAATTGTATATCCCAGGAAAAAAAATACCCAAAAACATCCTTTTTATATAAATATAATCCTCAGTGGTGGAAAACAAAATACTGTGACTCAAGCCTAAAAGCCAAGGCTGCTCTTTCTTCAGCAGGACCTCTGCTGTATTGGATACCTATATAGGCACACAATAACTGTAAAAATGGCTGGGATTATGAGGAAAAACTGGGGAAAAAGCTCAAATTTTCTGCCGATTCTTATCTGCAAGCCTGATAGCACCACAGGCAACAAAATTGCTGTATAATTCATGGGTAACTCTTACATGATGGGATTGCAGGCAATTTTATCTTCAACTTAGCCAAGAGAGACCAAAAGGACAAAACAGTCTATATATCCATTAAAAGCATTACTAAACTGTGAGTCAACTGATGCGGATTTTCAAATGTAAATGACGTATTTAAAAAGAAAACAACAGCCTTCGAAGATAAGCGTCCTGGACACCGAAAGACGCGCCACTGTAACAGACAGGAATATTACAGTATGTCTCTTAAAGTCATTACTGGATTTTCACACATATTTGGTAGCAGAAAACCTTCACCAGGATACCCACCCAGATTAGAACCCTTCTGTACAGTATGTGAGTATGCTTTACATCAGCATGTCAAAGCAAGTCCAGAGAATCATTAGCACGTTAGCATGGCGCAACGCACCGTGGTGACAGTCTGCCTCGTCGCTGTGGTCCATGCAGTCGTGCATGTCGTCGCACAGCCACCGGCGCGGGATGCAGTGGGCCCGGTTCTTGCACAGGAACTGGTCCTCCTTGCATTCTCGGGTGCAGTCCACCTGCAACACGGACAACATGACACCATCTGGCCAACTCAAAGTACTTGTCCTGCGTGTATCGCCCATCGGCAAATGGAGCAGAAGGGCAGGGAAACAGTGTTGGGGCATGTGACAAGCTAGTGACAGAGGGACCCACTGGGAAAGCTTCTGATGCACTGTAAACCAAGGTAAATTACCTCACCTTTATTAGAGGACTTTTGATCACTTGGAAAAACCTTAATATTTAACATTGCAGAACTGCTGACTGTTATCAGTTGTTAAAGCCCCCCAAACAGCTACACTACTGACACTGTGCAGGTATACTGAACAAAGAGCATGATTTTAATTATACCAAAGCCCCTCTGAGATTCGATGGACAAACAATTGCTATCCTCGTTAGAAATCTGACACCGTGCTGAGCCCCCGAATACAACTATAAGCCTGGTCCTTTTTTTTGTCATTAAGAAAAAATGGAGTAGCTGAGCTGACATAATGAGACTGCAATCATCGCTCATGGTGATGGAAAATAGGAAATAGGAGCATGGCGATTTTCCTTGCCAGCTAATTGGCTCAGTTTGTGAGTTTTTTTTTTTTGTTTGTTTTTGGATTAGCACCTGTTGCCCATAAAAGGTATCAGGAAACTTTTGCTTTCAATGCTACATTGCCTGTCCTTCATCGAGTTTCCTGGGGAGCGAGCCATTGAGGCAATTACTGCAAAATGCCATTGAACTGATGGGGAAAACCACATCGTAAAAGATTTTCAATTTCTGCAGTCGGTTTACTCTCGGAGCCACCTTGTAACATTTAAACACAGTCTGTCATTTACAAAGGGGATGTCTCGATCCTTCCTAGAACAATATCACTACCACACACAGTAAGAAACCAGCGATATAAATGAAATGCATCGTGTAACCAAATGATAAATGTATCTTGACAGAAAATAGCCCATGGTCACACCTGCACAATTAAGATCCGAGTCCTTTCAGATCGCCTGAATTTAGAATTTAGTGATCAGTGATCATTGTTGACACACCACAGCACACAGTGCACAACAACGAAATGTGTCCTCTGCATTTAACCCATATGTGACATGGTGACATAGCAGGGGGCAGCTAATTCAGCGCCCGGGGAGCAGTACCTTGCTCAAGGAACCTCAATGGTGCCTTGCTGGTCGGGGATTCAAACCAGTAATCTTTCAGTTCCAAGTGCGCTTCCCTAACCATTAAGCCACCACTGCCCACTGCCTAATGCAGGCATTAGATGATTCTACGTGTAACCATGGCACAGAAAGGACTTTCTGGCCTTAGAGCAGACATACGCACCTCGTCCGAGGCGTCTGGGCAGTCGTCGTGGCCATCACATCTCAGACGGGCAGAGACACAGCCCCCAATGGTGCAGTCATACTCATCCAGCGCACAGGAAGGAGTCGCCACTACAAACGGCCAATACAGTTAGTTATAATGGAAAACAACTTTGACGTCTTCAATTGTTTATTAAACAACAACCACTGAATGGGGGAACACACTTGCATTATATTAAGCAGATGTACATTTCTGAGACAGCAGGGTCAGCCAGTCCCTGGAACAATTGTGGAATAAGGGACTGGAGCAGGGGCCCAACAGTGACATCACTCCGCCAAACTTGGGATTTGAACCGCCAACCTTCCGATCATAGGCACAGTGTGACCTAACCCTGTCAGCCGAACACTGCCCCCAGAAAGTACCAGTGTTATTAAATGGAATTATGTGTTTCAATGGAAAGCATGGTGCGGTATGTGAAAAGAAGCATTCCGATGTACCTGTACATGTATTGTACAAACGGCTAATAAAGCCTCGTGTAGGCGGGGGGCCAGGGAGCGCAGACCATTCAGGCGGACTCGGAGCGGCCAGACCTCGCCACACATCAATCCTGAGATGACTTTCAGCTTTCATTCTGCATTCCTTTCAATCATCCATCACAAAGTTTGCCGCTAATTCCTGCCTTAGAAGATGGAGCCGTTCAAAGCGCTTTGCACTATTCACATTGGGTTTTCACTGAGAACTGTATTGTTTAAAAAAAATGAAACCACTTCTCACTTTTCATAGACAGAAGGCCATCTGAAGACAGACATCAGTAGGCTGTGATTTGTGGGTGTGATTGCAATGAATGCCTGGGAAATAGGTACAAACCCTACAAACATGCCCACTTCCACAACATAATGTATAAAAGGCAAGGTCAGAGGGGTCAGATATTCCTAAAACAAAGGTGATGACTTTTCATGTCATTTGCATTTCAATTTAAACCATTATTAAAATGAGACCTGATTAACAAATTCCCTTTGAGTTGGTAGTAGAATAAACAATTATGATAAATAATTTGCTCCTGCAAATCAGCCACTATTTCAGAAAACCCTCCCCTGTACTACCAACCTGCAACTGAATTGATGTTTTCTTAAAAATGGAGGTATCTGCAGAAATATTTAAAAAATCTAGATAAAACAGAACACACAAAAACCGCGATTAAATAAATATCTTCCATCACATCATTTACTTAATGTTTTGAGCTGTGTAATGTCAAGCAAAACATTTTTCTGGGTAGTGGGCATTGGTTCAGACCTTACTGTATATCTCCATTAACAAAACTAAAGCTGAACACATTTTTTAAATTATTATACACTTTAAATTCCTCCTGGCGTCCTATTCTATTGAAGATCAAAAAAGCGTACATGTGATGAGCATAAAAACATATGTACAGTCCAATATCTCAGAATTAGGGGTTATCAGGTTAATTATGCAGAATGCTGTGGACTCAGGTAGACACACAGGCTGTGGATGGGCTACAGCTTATATAAATTACTTCAGCAAGGAGGATTTTTCCTTCACGGCTTTCTGGTGCTGTCTGCCCCTCTCTAACCTCCATGGCACTAACGATTGTATTCAGCCTTCCCTCCAGCCCGCTGGGGGTCAAAGTATTTTTTTTAAAGAAATTCTCCTTTAAATCTGCTTTCCTTTTTTTGTTGTGAGCTGTCATGTTGGGCCCATTCAGCTGAGTAGGTTCGACTGACAATCATTTCATTTCCTTGCAACAAGAAGAAATAAAAATCGTTTCTGTTGATGCATCCGCCATCCCGGGATCCACCATCTTTGCGTGAGCCAGCTGGGGGCGGACCGGGCTCTTACCTGTGCTCTGGCAGCTGCTCTCATCCTCCCCCATCTTGCAGTCCTCCTGCCCATCACAGATCCACTTGCGGGAGATGCACAGGCCATTCAGACATTGGAACTGGTCCTCAGAGCAACGCATCTCGCAGTCCTTCTGTTGGTGGCAAGAGGGCAGCGTTGGTCTCACTGTGCTCAGTCATCACCCAGAATTGTCCCCCACTTCATGCTAAGTATCAGTAAGTGAAACTTGATGCTAAGTTTCGCTATTTCCTTATAGATTCACCTTCTATTCCAGCCCAGGCTGCTTCTGACTCTCAGTAGACCGGCTACTGTTAAAGGCACATGTAAAATTTTCATGTGTACATACTTGTAAATCATCTTGCACGTTACATGTTATACCAGGGCAAAGTCAGCAAGACAGATCCCTTGTATGTTTAATTTACTTGGCCAATAAAAGATTCGGATTTTGAAAGTAGACCTGACTCAGAAACAAGTTTCTAATGCCATTTGCAAAGTGTCAACATTAACGGCATACAGACTGATACCACAGATATTTCCTCCCAATGTGCAGTTGGACTGATTACGCTCACCTGTGTAGCCATGAGTAAAAGTGGGGGGGGGGGGGGGCGAGGACATTGATCATGCTGATAACACATTGAAGAGAACCATCATAGCAGCAAGAGCGGCTTTTCTCAAACACACACCGTGACAGACAGCCTCGGTGCTGCCGTCTGTTATTCTTTGTTTTTTTTATTACAATTTCCCATTAGTCACGGTGGTCTTCACGCTAACTGTCGAGTAACTGAACTTTACATAGAGGACAATGTAAAGGGGTTAGTCTTTAAATAAGATTAATCAGACCTACAGTGTGTTGTTAAAGCAACAGTAGCAAATGACACTAGGGAATAAACTGATTATTTAAGGGGTTTTTATTCCCTAATTAAATATTGTTTTATACATTAAGGAAGCACTGTTCGTCAATTGCTGATTTCTCATAGGTTTTTCATTGGCTGTGCATTGCCAATTATAATTGTTTTAAGCCCATACTTAAAGGTAATAATGCTTTATTTTAATGATTAAACATCTTATCAGGGAACTTCAATAGGCACTGACAAACTAAGGTGATGAAATACATACATGCATGCATTTTGTACTAAAACTGCCATATCTGTAATTCTGCTTTATAATTTCCCTTTTTCAATTTTTATACAATTAAAAGCTTTTTTGGAGAAAAAAAATTAACATTGGAACAGTCGATTTCATGGCAAACCTGAGCGCTGACCAAGCTTTTGTTTACGGCCTTCACTGCAACGTTGAAAAATTTATAAGACAGGACAGAACAAAATACCACCAACGACTGGGGAAAGTTATTAAAGAACACTATCACACATTATCAAAGGCACTGCAGTTTAATTCTGGTGGGTGATTATCAACCCCCCCACACTGAGAACCAGAGGCAGATTGATTAGCTAGCTAGGTGGTACCCTTTATGATTACACAGATGAGTCTTTCAGGTGGACCCCACAGACACAGGGGTCAGGCCTGAGGCTTTCCCCTGACCAGCACCTCGCTGGCCTGCCACAGCCCACCCTGTGGCTCAGGTACACTTTGCTGCTCTATTAGAAAAACAGTGGCACCAGTTGTGGGTGATACAGTGGCAGCTTTTTGCAACCCAAGAAGAAGCACCAACTGGGATGAGAAGTATATTTACATTTTAGCAAAAACCAATGGCTTAAATCAGCAGAAATGATAATCATTTATACACATTTCATGTACTTAATATGTGAAATATTACAGCGTTAATATTTAATCCTATCCTGACAGTTACTATTCAAAATGATACAAAATAGTGTTAAATACTCTTATAAACCATCACATTGCGTCAGTATGACTTTGCTAGGAAGGGTAGCTAACCTCATCCGACTTGTCGGCGCAGTCCTCATCTCCGTCACAGCGGTATCGCGCCGAGATGCATTCCCCACTGGCACAGGCAAATTCCTTCAAGGTGCATGTCACTGGCCCTGGATTGAGGACAGTTACGAGTCTCACATGATTTCCAGCACAGGACTGTAGCCTGTAGCTGCCACAAGCATTTTCACACATGACGCAAACGGTACACAGTTAGCCTATTTAATTAGCCATGAAGACTTTAATTTTGACCTAGAAAATCTGTTCCATTGATTTGACTGGGACCGGTACCTGTCACCCAGAACGGAATGCAAACCTATGCCCAGGGACCTCACCTGAGGCTCCATCCGCTCCACTAGTGCCTCCAAAAACAGTCTGCTTGCTGGAGGGGGGCTACTACGCCGGCAGGGGATTCTGTTCATTGTCAGTCTGGGCTAACGAACCACGACTGATCGCCCCGGAGGCCATGCCACCAGGGGGACCCCTGGCTGCCACAGCTGTAAAGGCAGCCCTAACAGCCCCCCAACCAGTCAGCTCACGTGACAAACCATCACCCGCAAAGCATGTCGTTTCATTTGAAATACGAGCATTGGCACTGGCGGCTAACTGCTCTATGGACCTATGCATGCAGCACCATAGAGGTCGAGAGGCTGAAGTACCATGTTTGGCTAACTGGCTAAGTGCCTTTTTGAGCGACAACAAAGCCACCCCTTTTTGTTCCATGGCAGGGCAGGGATAACTGATAAATGCACGCAGCTTCTAAAAGAAGATAAAAATAAAAAAAGATATTTCAAATACTCTCCATAATGATTTTTAAATACTATATAGCTAAAGTAGTGATTTGTTCACCTTGAAATCAGTCAAGAAAACATAATCCAGTAAATTGAATTTCCACGTCTATTAATAAAACCTGGAACATATTTTGCCCATTTCGAATATATAATGTGCACTGCATATTCATGCTAGATTCTCTAAAACAAGGTATATAAAACAGCTGTACAACTTTCAGTCTATCCCTAAAAAAAATACTAAAATTAAACTAAAAGTAAAATATACAAAACTAAACAGGAAAGTATATTTGAAATAAAAAATGATAAAACCACACTGAAAACTAACTTCAACTGCATTTCAAGGGAGGATTGAAAAAATATAACACGATGATTTCTTTATTAAAATTAGATTTCAGTTTGCAGGTCTATTCAATTTGTTGTCTTTTTTCATGTTCTGAATATGTTTAAGGGGAATTTTATACATAACATGAAGTAAATATGAATGACCTGAATTAAATATGAATAAAAATATGAAAACATTTATCATGATAAAATATTTTACAGGGATAACAGGGAACTCCCGGTTTCATTTCTATTGGCTGTATCGTGGCTAGAAAATGTAGCGGAAAGTGGCCAGAGAGCGAGCGGGCAGAACACACAGCGGAAATCAGGACAAATCTCCCCAGGAGCGTAACACCTGGCTGTGAATTCAGGCGTTCCTCTCTCTCCCCGTGATCCGAGCGCGAGTCTCGGCACAGAGAGGACGCGTGAGCCCTGGTGACGAACCCGCTTAATTACTCCATGAGATTAGAAAGAGCACCATGGAGAGAAGCCAGTGTCATGATTAAGAAAAGAACAACAGAGGCCTCAAGATGCAGGACACCGAAAAGATACCAGTCCGGTGTGGGGAGGGTGGCATTCAAACAGAGGATTGTAGGAGAGGAGGATGAGCGAATCAAAGAGTTAAAATCAGAGAAACAGAATCATTTCCAAACTCACATGTAACTGGAGCTGATATAAACTAAGATGAACAAATCAATAAGCCCTGCAATAAACTGAAAGTTTTCAATGGAATACTTCTAAAGATAGCTATTGACTGATGGAATACTATAATTTAAACTTTACTTTATTATCAAGTGTATATTTACATTAGCAATATCCTGTGGGGGGGAACTGCAAAGAATTCAATAAAACACTAACGTTCATCTCCTGCAAGATTATGTTACACACCACAACAGACCATTCAAGAGACCAGACTCACCTTTCTGTAATTAAAGCAACACCATTCTGTCACCTATCAGTCATTTTGTACCCAAAAGCCATGTATTTTCTTAAAAAGCCTGCTGTGCGATTTAATAAAGACACGCTGTTCTCACAAACCCTATAAAGGACCCGTCAGTCAGAAATTCACTGCCCCCCCCCGGCTTGTTGACTGTTCAGACATTCTTACAGTAAGTGCTTCCTAAAAAAGGCTAAAAGGTAAAAATACTACTCCCAGTTATTACCATAGTTTCTAGCCGTATTGTACATCTAGTCCAGAGAAACGAAATCCGTCAAGTAGGAAAAAGACGTATTTAAATGTGATGAGGTAGCAGCAGAGTGTGGAGTACCTGGCGTGGATAAACGGGCACCCAGGAGGGCAGAAAATGATCCAGCGATACCCAGTGGTGCCTGGCAGCAGGGCCAATATGCCAGGACCGGCCACGGAGATGGCTATCTTAACAGCGAGCTGCGCTTTCATTTAAAAGGTGTTTGCACTGAGACGCGGCGGGGTGGGGGCAGGTCTCCCCTGGACTTTTCATTTTGCCTTTATCCCCCCCACACAAAGCCGGGGGCGGGCAAATGCATCGCCGACACACTCCCGAAAACTGAGGCAAATACAAACATAGTGCAGCCCCCCTAAACGTTCATCACAGGAGCATACCACGGAGCTGGGATCACAGTTTGTGTTAAAATGAGGAGAAAAAGAAAAACAAAAAAAATCCTGACATAAATTGTATCATATACTGTAAATCAATCATGTGTAAAGTGACAGTAAGAGAGAGAGAGACAGGGGGCAGGAATACTGGCACAGATGGGGACCTTACAGCAAAGAGAGAGAGAGAGAGAGACAGGGGGCAGGAATACTGGCACAGATGGGGACCTTACAGCAAAGAGAGAGAGAGAGAGAGAGAGAGAGAGATGGAGGGCAGGAATACCAGCACAGATGGGGACCTTACAGCAAAGAGAGAGAGAGAGAGAGAGAGAGAGATAGATAGAGGGCAGGAATACCGGCACAGATGGGGACCTTACAGCAAAGAGAGAGAGAGAGACAGGGGGCAGGAATACTGATACAGATGGGGACCTGACAGCAAAGAGAGAGAGATGGAGGGCAGGAATATTGGCACGGATGGGGACTTTACAGAAGAGAGAGAGAGAGAGAGAGAGACAGGGGGCAGGAATACCAGCACAGATGGGGATCTTACAGCAGAGAGAGAGAGAGAGAGAGAGAGAGATAGGAGTAACGGGGGTATGGCCGGGGATCTTACTGCAGGCCTCCTCGTCAGAGCTGTCTTCACAGTCGCTCTGGCCGTCGCATCTCCAGTGCTCCGGGATGCAGCTGTTGTTCTTGCAGCGGAACTCGTGAGGTCCACATGTCTTTTCATCTAGTCACACAGAGAAAGACAGGGGATGCTAACGGGGGGCACAGCAATGGCTGGTGAGAGATCCCAGCAGGACCGGGTGATCACTGGATGAACAAGCAGCCACATAAGAAACCTGGCGAGAAAACCAGATGGGTATTCGCTGGCATGCAGGAAATCGGCTTCTAAGACAAAGGATGTCATATAACCAAAAGTGATTCACTTACCTGTGTCTGTCTTTCTACTGCATATGATGTCCTTGTACTCACACACTTTGTGTTATATGTGTGGCATCATAAGTATAAAAAAATACGCATATAAATTAGCTGTATTCAAAACATAATACACCTGTATGTTAAAACTGTTCTCCCGACTGAAGTAATTGCTTGTCACCACTATAATTTTGTTAGGGGGTCATAAAAAATATTGTTCAAAATTAATATAATTAAAAATAATAATAAATAAATAATCTAAGTGTTAAAACCTATGTTTGTCTGATTCATGTTTTGTTTGGCTTCCTGTTACAGGATATCAGCAAGACGCAGTTCCATAACCTTGTCAGACATGTAGTGCCGCTGCCATGAGAATGGACGGATGTATAATTATTAATCAACACATCACAAAGCCGTGTTTGAGTGACGGTTCCTACACTTATGGCAAATACGGCAATAACTGAATTTTAATTTTGAATGCAGACTGCAGGGGAATGTTAATCTCACCTTTTCTGCAGTGGGCCAGAATACACCTGGTGTGCTTGAAAGACCATTGGCAGACAGATAAAAAGAGCAGTGACATCACAGGATCAATTTAAGAGGGATACAAATGAAAGAAAATCGCTCTGAGGGACCCTACGTATCTTTCCTGAAGGGCTTTCACCGACAGACCGGTTTGAGACCGGGTGAGAAAGCTCTCACCCTGCCGATTACTCGATTGTCTGTGTTGCAAGGTCGAATTTAAATATATGTAAATGGTGTTTTTCTACTCATAAATAAGTAATTTTCTCTAATTTTAAATTAAATTAAGTATTTAGATGGTTTTGAATTATATAACCCAGTAGTGCCTTGATTGATTACTATTCAGCCCTCTTTGAATTAACAACCTAAATTAGTATTCTATTTTCATGAGAAATCGCATTAAAACACAAATGAGGTCCACCTGTGTTGATATGGAACCCACCTGTGTTCTCTGGCATGAAGAGGAGAAGGCATCTTTACTGACTTTGTAACATATCACAAGTGAAACGGCAGAAATCAGATCAGTCGCACTGTCAAAAAGTCCAAAGAACTGCCCGGGGAACAATGAAATGAAGTTGTTAGGGCTGAAATAGTTGGGGGACAAAGTTATTAAAAAGGTTTGCTGAAGCTTCATATGTTCCCAGGAACGCTGTTAAAGTCAACTGTAACATAATAGAAAAATGCAACACCATGCAGGTCCTCAAGGTCACTGTACGCCATGGAAGTAAGCGACCTGAAGAGATGGGGAGCCGTCGGTGGTAAGACCAAGAAGGTGAGCTACAGCACAGAGTGGCAGAATTATGCAGAGACAAAGGCAGACTCGTATGTCTGAGAAAAGCCAATGGCCAATCACCCTGAGCCTGCTGGCAAAAAAAATAAATCATTGGGGTTTTATGAAAGCTGTTGAGCCCTTTGGTCCAAAATTGGAGCACTATGTTTGGCACAAACCAAACAGATCATCACCCTGGTAACACCATCCCTATTCTCACTCATGGCAGTAGTGGCATCATACTACTGTATGAGCTTGTTTCTTGAAAGGAAATTAAGTTTTATTTGCCATTTGTACATTACAATGTGATAGTTTTCACATATTCCATCATGTGCATCTCTCTCTCTCTCTCTGTCACACAAGCAGACAGACAGACAGACAGACGCACGTACACAAAGACGGACGCACATAAAGACAGACAGAGCGGGGAACAATAAAATTAAGCTGTTAGGGGTGAAATAGTTTGGGAAAAAAGTTATTTAAAATGTTTACCAAAGTGCACACATGCAAACACACAGACAGACGCAGACGCATACACAGACACAGACAGACAGACAGACAGACAGACAGACAGACAGACCAGGAACAATGAAATTAAGTTGTTAGGGGTGAAATAGTTGGGGAAAAAAGTTATTGAAAAGGTTTGTGAAGCGCGTGTAAACATACACACACACGCACGCACGCAGATGTCGGGTAAACATATCCTTATGGGTACCGCTCATTAATTTCAATGGGAAAAATGCTAACACTAACTATGACAACCTTAACCCTTACCCTGCCCTAACCATAACCATAAGTAACCAAACAAAATACAAGAGTTTTTGCATTTTTAGTTTTTTCATAGCAGTCACCGATTTTTATAAATCCCTTATGGGGACCAGGAAATTTACGGATATTTATCACATTATGGGGACATTATGTCCCCATAAGGATAGGTAAACCCACTTGCACACACACACACAGACGCACACACACACCCTAACCCCTACCTAGCCCTAATCATAACCATAAGTGACCAGATGAAATACAAGATTTTTGCCATTTTTACTTTTTTGATTGAAGTCATATTTTTTTATAAAACTAAATGTGAAGCTTGGGATCAGAGCACAGGGTCAGCTGTCAGCTCCCTGGAACATTTTGCAGGGGGGCTTAAGGCTCATGGGTCCAAAGGAGGTGTGACTATTCTGCAAGGACAGGATTCAAACCAACTACCTTCTGATTACAGGTGCAATGTCCCAATCCCTGTCAAAGACAAGACGGACAGAGAAAAATACAGGGTCAGTCAGAAAAGAACCTGATTCAATTGCTGAGAAGATGGTTTTCGAGCAGAGGAACATGGCCCAACCTGTATACCTAAATTATACAGGTATTACTACAAAGGAGTGGCTTAAAACATGGACCGCATGTGGACCGGAAGAGCCCCGCCAGAGCAAGGGCATTCCTTAAAACATGGACCGCATGTGGACCGGAAGAGCCCCGCCAGAGCAGGGGCATTCCTTAAAACATGGACCGCATGTGGACCGGAAGAGCCCCGCCAGAGCAGGGGCATTCCTTAAAACATGGACCGCATGTGGACCGGAAGAGCCCCGCCAGAGCAGGGGCATTCCTTATTCATATTTTTGCATCATCAGCAGCATTATTTCCAAGCGACAGAACAAAACACGTCAAGGAGAATAAAACAAGTAAAGCGTATGAAAACACTCAGGACACCATATTTATTGCAGTAACCTCATCATTAGTCTGATCAGCTGCTGCAGCTGGCATCTGCAATTAATCCTATTAAATTAAATTCAATAAAGGAAAACAACTTTGAAACGAATACATATAAACAAGAAACTACTACTGAATTATGATTTACTGAATTCTATGTATCTATCTCTTTATCTGTCTGTCTGTCTTTGTGTGAATGTGTGTATATATACACACACACACCCATAGGTGTGTGTGAATGGGGTGTAAGTATGCCCTGCCATGGGTTGGCGCCCCATCCTGGGTTGTTCCCTTCCCTGCACCCATAGGCTCAGGACCCCCTGTGACCCTGAATGGGATAAGCAGGTACAGAAAATGAATGGATGGATGGATAGCTAGTTGAGTCTGTAGTGCGATTTTGTCGGCACTCCCACGCTATGATTTCTGGCTTCCCTATTGCTGATAAGTTCCTTTCTGGAGCAAAAGGCAAGCTGACGGATACGAAAGTTCATAGGTTTTTTTTTTTTTTTATTGCTTTATGTCATGAGCGAGATATACAGTATCGGCATTTTATGGCACAACATAATGGCTTTTAAACCAATACATAAAGCGTGTGTTGAATTAATTTCTGCCATTAGCTGGCCATGGAAAAAAAGAAGAAACGCCACTGTGAACTGACCTGCGATCAACTTGCAATGATGCAACAATCTAAATTATTCATGCGTGGTAAATGGAAACATCCACTTAGCTCCCATGACATTAATGAAATCTTTTTGTGAAGTGACACTGTAGAAAAACAACATTGGGATTCTGTGCGTTGGCTCATTAGATTTCAGGCTGTATTGTTAAATGCCACTTCAAAGAACTAAACAGCTTGCGGAGAAATGAAATGTTTACCAGAACAGTACATTAACCGGCACCGGGGTGGCAGGATTTCTGCCTCAGTGTGACTTCCATCTCTGGATGTTCTAATTTGCAGGCCATTCAGACATAAGAGCAGAACACCATTTTGGGGTCTAACCACACTAAGTATAAGTATAATCCTTCATGAGCCATTGCACAAGTATGAGTACAATAAAGGTTAAACAGGAATTCATTTCTTCAGTTACCCCCGTTTTGCTCTTCTCTGAAGTCTCAGTTCAGGTGCAACATCCCTAGGGCTGGGGGGTTAAAGGCCGTACTCAAGGGTTCACATGTGATTCCTGACGAGGTTGGGGTTCAAACCAGCACCCATCCGATCACAGGCACAGAGGCTTAGCCTGCTGAGCCACTCACTGCCTCCTGAGATACCAGAGGGCTTTCCCATATATTTTTTTTATTACAAACAGAACAGCTGACGAATGCTAAGAGACCTGACAAGGATGTCTTATGTGAAGTTGTATGTGTGTTTACAGTTGCACAATAGTAAAAATGAAAGCCTCGGTGCTTCTCCTTTTCATAAAAAAAAAAACTGTTCCTCTAATCTAAGGCTGCACAATATTGCACAATATTGGAAAATTTTCAAATACAGTGGTACCTCAGAACTCGAATTTAATCCGTTCAGAACTCCAGATCGAATCCTAAAAAGTTTGAGTTGTGATCGAATTTTCCCCATAAGAAATAATGGAAAACCAATTAATTGGTTCCCGGCCCCAAAATAATTACACCTAAATATGTTTTTTTTTTTTTAGCATTTAAACACAAAATGAACCGGATAAAACAAGAAGAGCATATACTGTACTAAACACATCTAAGCACATTTATCAAAACAGTAATTTGTAAAGTAAGAAAATAATTGTATTCAAACAATGTGTAAAGTTTAAAAAAACAATGTGTCCTGCCCCCATCGTCCG